GAGAAAGACTGAAGCCAGGTACAGCCCTAGATCAATAGAGGACGCAGGTGTTTAAGGTGGGGGATGGGGGGATACGATTAGAAAACGTTTTACCTTAATGCAGAGTATGTGTTGACCAAGAAAAAAAACAAACAAAGCAAAAAAAAAAACCAACCGCCTTTTGCCTTTACAACCACTTCAAAGGGCTCAATCACACCAGTCTGCAAGCTAAGCCCCCATTTACAGTACACTATATTGCCAAAAGAATCAGGACACCCCTCCAAATCATTGGATTCAGGTGTTCCAATCACCTCCATGGCCACAGGTGTCCATCAAGCACCTAGCCATGCAGACTGATTCTACAAACCTTTGTGAAAGAATGGGTCGTTCTCAGGAGCTCAGTGAATTCAAGCGTGGTACCGTGATAGGTTGCCACCTGTGGAATAAGTCCATCTGTGACATTTCCTTGTTACTAAATATTCCACAGTCCACTGTTAGTGGTATAATAACAAAGTGGAAGATACTGGGAACAACAACAACTCAGCCACCAAGTGGTAGGCCACGTAAAATGACAGAGCGGGGTCAGCGCATGCTGAAATGCACAGTGCACAGAAGTCACCAACTGTCTGCAGAGTCAATAGCTAAACACCTCCAAACTTCGTGTGGCCTTCAGATTAGCACAATAACGTGTAGAGATCTTCATGGAATGGGTTTCTATGGCTGAGCAACTGCATCCAAGCCTTACATCACCAAGTGCAATGCAAAGCGTTGGATGCAGTCATGTAAAGCACGCCACCACTGGACTCTCTGGACTTCTCTGTTTGGAAATCTGATGGACATGTCTGGGTTGGCGGTTGCCAGGAGAACAGTACTTGCCTGACTGCATTGTTCCAAATGTAAAATGTTTGGTGGAGGGGCGATTATGGTGTGGGGTTGTTTTTCAGGGGTTGGGTCTGGCCCCTTAGTTCCAGTGAAGGGAACTCTTAAGGCGTCAGGAGCATGAAATTGTCCAAAATGTCATGGTATGCTAACTTTATGGGCACAGTTTGGGGATGGCCCCTTCCTGTTCCAACATGACTGCAGACCAGTGCACAAAGCAAGGTCCATAAAGACATGGATGAGCGAGTTTGGGGTTTATTTCCATACAAATGTGCTTCTGGAAGAATGGTCAAACATTCCCATAGACACACTCCTAAACCTTGTGAACAGCCTTCCCAGAAGAGTTGAAGCTGTTATAGCTGCAAAGGATGGGCCAACTCAATATTGAACCCTATGGACTAAGACTGGGATGCCATTAAAGTTCACGTGCATGTAAAGGCAGGCGTCCCAATACTTTTGGCAATATAGTGTATGTTGTGTCCATTACTTAAGATAAAGAATTCCATTATTCTCAATAGGCCAGTTCACACCTGAGCATCATGTCACTTGTTGCCTGAAGCTTGAAAGAGTACAGGAGCTTTTCTGGGGCAGAATCGCATTTACAGCTCTAAAGACTTTAATGGAAGCACTTGAAAAAACAAATTTTTCAAGTGCTCCTACTTAAAGTCTATGATGCAAAAATGCATGCATTTTTGCTCATAGACTGTTAAGTCATGGGAACAAACAATATGGGAAAAAACACACACACCCCCCCTCTTAATTGCCTGACTACATTCATATGCTAAGGAATCATTCACATGGGAATGCAGCCTGGAGCAGCATGAAGAGCCACTTGTTTGTATTTTTTATGCTAGTACTGAGCTACATACAAGTAACTTATGTAAGTGAATGGCCACACAAACAGTGGAGTGCCTGTGTAAATAAGGGCTCTAGCAGTGTATGTTGTATACAGGCAGTGTCATGCATTGTTATGCCATAACAACTGTTGATGGTTTTATTTCTCTTTTCTAAAGCCGGCCCTGCATGGGTTGAATTCCAAAAGAATTTTCTTTTAAAAATCTTTTCTAAAAATTTTTGTTCGAATTTCGCACCATTACTGGGCCATAGAAACGGCCCATTTTCATGCGACCATTGAATTTGAGTGATCGGGCATGTTGGAAATTTTTTTAAGAACAAACTAATTTCTAATCAATGATGGGAGAAGCACGCGAGAAATATAATCGAAAAAGAAATGAGCATGAGCTGTGACCTTGAAAGAAAAAAGGGCTAAGAAAAGCACAGTGGCTAAATGGTTAGCACTTCCGCCTGGCAGTAATAGGGGCGTTGGTTCGAATCACAACCACAGAACCTCCTGCCTGGAGTTTGCATGTTCTCCCTGTACCTGCGTGGGTTTCCTCTGGGTACTCCGGTTTCCTCTCACACTCCAAAGACATGCTGGTAGGTTAATTGGATCCTGTCTAAATTGGCCCTAATGTATGAATGTAAGTTAGGGAGCTTAGATTGTACACCCCTTGAGGGTTAGGGACTGATGTGAATGTATAATATATATGTAAAGTGCTGCGTAAATTGACGGCGCTATATAAGTACCTGAAATAAATACAAAGAAAATTCTTAGCCACGAAAAACATTTTTTTTGTAGCAGCAGGAGGAAGTTGAAGGTTTGGTTGGTTGAATGTTGAAATCAATGGTAGCGCCATTGGGTTACAAATTTTCTAAAGAATATTTGTTCAGCATTTGAACAACGTATGGCCTGCATAAGAGTTTGCTCACACTTTAGTCTCCAATAAGCAATCTGCCTTTGAATCATTCCTCGGAGAGCATTTGACAGGCAGTGAAGTGTTGTATTTCCTCCTCACTGCTTGCTTTAACCCTCTGAACCTCACACTAATGTGCTGCACCGTCTGTGGTTGCAGAGCAGCCCCATCCACTTGAATTGATCGAGCTCGGCAAGTGCTACACTCAGCAAGAGCGACAGGGGTATAATTCTGCTGTGCCCATGAAGAAAAGCATTGTGGCTATAGCACATGTACACCCCTGGCTGCAGTGGTAGAGAGGGGAGTGATAAAAATGCAGCTCAACTGCAGAACTTTACCACCCTGAACTGCTAGTGTGAACAAATCCTTAAAGTGGACGTTTAGTCAAAACCTAACTGACTCTAAACCTACTCTCAGCCACATTTCAAGCCTAATCTAGCCCAGGAAAAATAAATAAATAAATAATCGCCATACTTACCTGTTCTGTATCCTCTGTGTGTGCAGGAGAGGCATCCAACAACAGAGGCTTCATACTAAGTCTATGGGTGACGTCATTTCCCAGCCGTAGTCGGTTTTCTCCTGCACTCAGCAGTTGCGCAGAAGACTGGACCAGACCCGCAGCAGAATAGGGAAGTATAGTGATTTTTTTTTTCTTTACAGGGCTAGACAGATAAAGCTTAGAAAGTGGCAGAGAGTAGGTTTACTGTTGGTTAGGTTTTGGCTTCCACTTCCACAGGAACATCACTCCTATTTCCACCATCTCCTTCTGACCCCCAGTTCACATCTGTGCAGTCATGCGGGCCGCGTTTTGCACGGGGCATGAGAGCCCATTCATTTGAATGGACTCCCGTGCCACGCAGGGAAGAAGTCCCTGCACTTCTTTGGAAAACGCAGCCCGCACGGGAACCTCAGTTCCCAGTACGGTTGCAGTTTCCAGTGCGGGCGGCGTACAATTAGAACGGCACCCGTCTGCGGGTCCAAATTTCTCTGTGTGGGTGGTGCAGCTGCACGGATTTCTCTGCGGATCCGCAGCATCTCCACCCGCACAGATGTGAACCTAGGGTTAAGGACAACCACATGACACATATGCACCAAAACGGATCATCACTGGACTGCTTTAACCCTCTGAATTCTGCACCACCCCGCCGGGGAGAACACAATAGCTCCGCAGGAGGAATGACAATTGATCGATTCACAGTTAGTGTTGATGGGGGTAAAAAAAAAAAAAAAAAAAAAAGGACGATTTTCATTCCTGCAACTTAGGGTGCAACAAAGAAAAAAAAAAAATTGCATCTATGGCCTGCCTAAGGCCCCTTTCACACTGAGGGTCCGATCAGGTCCGCCCTTCAGTTTTTCCGGCAGACCTAATTGGATCTTTTATTCACCCCATGGACTGGCAAGTGTAAACAGACTTACCACCTACCTCCAATCTGGGAAAAAAAAATAAAAATGAAGGGGATCTGTTTCCCTCCAGCTGGGTGGATCAGATCAGAGGGCAATCAGGTGTACACAGACAGTGAAGTCCTTTTAGACCTGGCCACTGATAGAACGGAGCGGACTGTGTGTCCACTCTGCATAAACTGAGCAGACATGGACCTGACATCCGCCAGCTCAGCTCTGATCATCAGACCAATCTCCGGCTGATCTCAACAGAATCACCCCATGTGACAGGGGCCTAACATGTCCGTTTTGCCCAGGCCAAAAACAAGTGCACATGGGAAGGTTTTCCCTACAAAAAATAAAAACATCTGATTATGTGAGAGGAGGGGGATAGGCGTGTGATAACAGAAAGTCATCGAAATTGTGATGGAAATGGCACAAAAAGATGCTTCATTCTAGTCTATGCACTGCAGCAGGTGTGGTGATGTGCCATGCACAAAAAAAATGCAGAGTGCTGTATTTTTTATACATCTAAACATAACATCAATTTTTTTTTTACAACCCTCTTGCAGTGAGCCTGCGCCGATCGAGGTGGTTAACCAGACATGATGTGAATGAGCCCCTATTTTTCAAGACAATGGCGTGCCCCATCTACTATACCTGAGAGGGTATGGCAGTGCCATTCTGTTGGCTGGACATTCCCATTTGTATTGATCTATGGCACAGTACAGGATAATATGAGTAATAAATGCAGGTGATGTGGCCCCAGTGTGGGTCTGGAAGGCCCCTATGATGCAATTGTCTAAAACAATTGGCCAGATTTCCTAAAGCAGTGGAGACCTTTCTCACCATGTATTGTGATGATGATCCAATGATCAGAACTCGGCCTAGGGTGAGGCGATCGGCCTAGGATGGGGCGATCGGCCTATGGTGGGGCGATGAACAATACTACCCCCCACCCCCTTCCCCTCCAGAGTCATGGACACACAAAGACAGACGGATACGTACCCGGAGTGAGCCGGCGGTCCCCACCCAAAGGAGGCAAAGGAGACTGCGGGCCTAGCGGACTGTCGGGCCTCAAGCCGCACCTCTGGGGAGTCGGGGTAGCAGGGGATCCCGGTAGAGGGGTGCACCGACGACGCTTCGGAGACTGCGGGCTCATCAGGGCCTCGAACTCCATAGAGCGCTTCAATGTGGCTCCGCAGGCCATGGTCGCCCTGATCGCTCCCAGTCAGATCGGACAGAAATCTAGCGGGTGGCCGTGGGGGGAGGAGGAAGAGGGCCGGTACAAGGCGCCGATCGGTATCCTTAGCTTCTCCTTTCCGATAAGTTCACACCACAGCAATGGCGACTCCTCCCCGGCAACCGGCCAAATGCCGCGATGGTGACGTCACGAACCGGCCGGAACCACTCCACCTACGACGGGGGAAGCTCGATCCTCCGCTCTTGCAGCCAGCCGATAGAAAACCGTGTGAGCGTGGGCTGCCGGATGTGTGTGTGTGCTGTGGGAAGAGTCCGAGTCATATGAGAGGGACAGGGGATAGGCTCACAGTTTATGTGGTGTCCTGTCTGTGGCTGGGAATGGCATGTTCCAATACAAATGCTAATTCCTCTGAGGCAGAGGTCACAGGGGGCTTCTCAGGGGAGATAGGAGGACATGGAATGGTCAAAATGTGTGAAGGGGTTCATGGCCAGGAAGTGGGGAGAGGACGGGGTGTCTAATAACGAGGGAGAGGATGTTGTGGAGTACCCAACAAATGGGGCAAAGAGGACAGGGTGTCTATGAGCAACAGGAGGGTTGAGGAGAGAGTGTAGAGGACCAACAAGTGGGATGAGAAGGGGTGTCTGTGACCTACAAGTGTGATGAGAAGGGGTGTCTGTGACCTACAAGTGTGATGAGAAGGGGTGTCTGTGACCTACAAGTGTGATGAGAAGGGGTGTCTGTGACCTACAAGTGGGATGAGAAGGGGTGTCTGTGACCACAAGTGGGATGAGAAGTGGTGTCTGTGACCTACAAGTGTGATGAGAAGGGGTGTCTGTGACCTACAAGTGGGATGAGAAGGGGTGTCTGTGACCAACAAGTGGGATGAGAAGGGGTGTCTGTGACCAACAAGTGGGATGAGAAGTGGTGTCTGTGACCTACAAGTGTGATGAGAAGGGGTGTCTGTGACCAACAAGTGGGATGAGAAGGGGTGTCTGTGACCTACAAGTGGGATGAGAAGGGGTGTCTGTGACCTACAAGTGTGATGAGAAGGGGTGTCTGTGACCAACAAGTGGGATGAGAAGGGGTGTCTGTGACCTACAAGTGTAGTGAGAAGGGGTGTCTGTGACCAACAAGTGGAGTGAGAAAGGGGTGTCTGTGACCTACAAGTGGGATGAGAAGGGGTGCCTGTGACCTACAAGTGTGATGAGAAGGGGTGTCTGTGACCTACAAGTGAGATGAGAAGGGTGTCTGTGACCTACAAGTGTGATGAGAAGGGGTGTCTGTGACCTACAAGTGGGATGAGAAGGGGTGCCTGTGACCTACAAGTGGAGTGAGAAAGGGGTGTCTGTGTCCAACAAGTGGAGTTCGAAAGGGGTGTCTGTGACCTACAAGTGGGATGAGAAGGGGTGCCTGTGACCTACAAGTGTGATGAGAAGGGGTGCCTGTGACCAACAAGTGGGATGAGAAGTGGTGTCTGTGACCTACAAGTGGGATGAGAAGTGGTGTCTGTGACCAACAAGTGGGATGAGAAGTGGTGTCTGTGACCTACAAGTGGGATGGGAAGGGGTGCCTGTGACCTACAAGTGGAGTGAGAAAGGGGTGTCTGTGACCAACAAGTGGAGTTCGAAAGGGGTGTCTGTGACCTACAAGTGGGATGGGAAGTGGTGTCTGTGACCTACAAGTGGGATGGGAAGGGGTGCCTGTGACCTACAAGTATGATGAGAAGGGGTGCCTGTGACCTACAAGTGGGATGAGAAGGGGTGTCTGTGACCTACAAGTGGGATGAGAAGGGGTGTCTATAAGCTACAAATGAGATGAAAAGGGGTGAGGATGAGGTGTCTGTGACCAACACATGGGGTGAGGAGTGGTTTTATACCTAATAGAGGTGAGAGAACAGGGTGTCTGACCAACACGTGGGGAGACAAGGGGTGTATGCCCAACAACCAGGGAGAAGAGGGGATGTATACCCAGCAAGGGGTAAGAGAAGGTGGGGTATATTACCAAAATGTTGGTAGAAGAACAGGTGTCTGTCTGACAAGTGGGGTGAGAAGGGAGTATATACCCAGCCAGAGGAAGGACTGTCTATGACCAACAAGTAGCATGAGGAAGGGATGTTTCGCCAAAGCAAGTGGGGAGAAGAGGGGTTGTATACTCAGCAAACAATGAGAGGGATGCCTTTGTCCACTGGGTGGGGAGCAAAGGGTGACTATGCCCAACAAGTGAGATGTGGAGCTGGTGTCTATGTCTAACAAGAGGGATGAGGTGAGGTTGTCTAATACCAGCAAGTGGGCTGAGGAGGCATGTATTTGACCAACAAGTGGGGTGAGGAGGGGGTGTCTATGCCCAACAAGTGGGAAGAGGTGAGGTTGTCTAATACCAGCAAGTGGGCTGAGGAGAACATGTCTATTGGGATGAGGAGTGGCTGTATACCTAATAAGAGGAAAGAGAACAGGGTGTCTGACCAACAAGCGGGGAGACAAGGGGGTGTATACTGTACAGGAGGTCAATGATGGTTCCTGGAGGGTAGATACACTATACTGCCAAAAGTATTGAGACGCCTGCCTTTACACGTACATAACCTTTATGGCATCCCAGTCTTAGTCTGTAGGATTCAATATTGAGTTGGCCCACCCTTTGCAGCTATAATAGCTTCATCTCTTCTGGGAAGGCTGTCCACATGGTTTAGGAATGTGTCTATGGGAATGTTTGACTGTTCCTCCAGAAATGCATTTGTGAGGTCTGGCATTGATGTCAGACAAGAAGGCCTGGTTCGCAGTCATCGCTCTAATTCATCCCAAAGGTGTTCTATTGGGCTGAAGTCAGGACTCTGTGCAGGCCTGTCAAGTTCCTCCACCCCACACTCGCTCATCCATGTCTTTATAGACCTTGCTTTGTGCTCTGGTGCTCAGTCATGTTGGAACAGGAAGGCGCCATCTCCAGACTGTTCCCTCAAAGTTGGGAGCATGAAACTGTCCAAAATGTCTTGGTATGCTGACGCCTTAAGAGTCATTGCATCATTGGCTGTAATGTGATAAGAACAGTTGACACAGGTGGAAAAAATGCATGGGTATGTAAACAATGAAGTAGACAGATAAAATCGGTCACAAGCATCAAAATTAGTCACAAAGGTCAAAATTGAAAAGTCTCTGCTATGCAATAAACAAAAATGTATGCAAAGAGAAATGGATCTCAAAAAGTGCAAGAAACTGCATAACAATGTTATTAAGCTATTCATTTGTAGTGACAGATGTCATTATTGTTGAACTATTTATATAAAGTGACCGATATATTTATCTACAAGAGAAAAAATGAATGAAAAAATATGGATGTACCTATGTGTGTCAACCTAGGTAGGCATGATTAAAACTAATGAAACTTATTGAGAAAAAATTAAAAACAAATGAAAATATAGGCTTTAGAACAAAACCAAAAATAATAAAAAGAAAAGACACTCACAATCATGATGGAAATATATTAGTGATTTTATAGGGGTCTTTTAATCACCTCCTCTTCCCTTTCCCCTCAGATGTAATTTTCCATTCGTGGATCGTTCACTTGTATGCTGTTTCCAAGTACCTGGCCTTTTAAAAATGCGCTCCCTGTCCTGCAGTAAGCTCACATACAGACAAGTATCCCCATAGTGTAGTATGTAAAAAATAGGGTTATATTAAAATAAAATTGCACTCACATAAAAAGAAGCAGTAGTGGCATAAATACAAATAGTGGGGCCGCGGCTCCCACGTCACTTCCGGTTTCGGCTCTCCCAGTGCCACGGCTCCGTCTACACACATATCATCACGGTCACGTGACTTCATCAATTTTTTGGAAAAATGTTTATCATCTAAATATGTATTAATATATGTGATAAAAATGCATAGATGTATAAATGCAAGAAAAAATGAAATTCAATGGAACATCCTACAGAGGGAAGGACAAATTACTCATAATAATGAGTAATGTCCCATTCAAAGTTTAATCCTCTAGGTATAAGGGTGTTCAGTTTAAAAAAAAAAAACCAAAATACCTCCCTCCTGCACAGAAGGGAGAATCGGTCACCACCACAGACAGATCAGTCTATCCTTTCAACACTTTGAACTCTAAAGCATTGTACATTCTGTTGATGGAGAGAATGGAAGTGTCTAGCCAAACTAGTATTTTTGTTAGTCCTAATATCTGAGAAATGGTCCCTCATTCTGTCACTTAATCGTCTTGTGGTTCTACCCACGTATTGAATGTTACATAAATTAAAAGTGACTATATAACAAATTTGGTGTGAGAAAAAAACATTGGAACATGAGATAATGGAGAAGGGTTGGAAATAAATAAACTGGGAGATATATGTTTTCTATGGTGCATGCCCTTCTGGCTACAAATCTGACACCTCGACTCAATATCTCATGGTAACTGTCTTCCCCATGTAAAATGGGGAGATGTTTAGATATGGTGCGTTTGGTATCCTGAAATTGTAGGCTATAGCGTGTGGAGAATACAAGTGGACTGGTAGATCTGGCTTGCTTAGGATGGCATCGTATGAATAAATTAGTTCTTGATAAACTCCTGGCATATATGTGGGCCTGTCTAATGTTAGACTTTTTGTAGTCACATTTGCAAATTTTGTTTCCACTGAGATTTGTAGCTTTCCTATCAAAATCAGCAAAACTGTATCAATTTCATCTGATCCTGATGGACTGACCACGTGGAATGGCCTTGATGGTGTGTGTAGGGTGACAAGCGGATGCACGTAAAAGTGCGTTTTTAGAATTGTGTTTTCTTTATGCTCGCACCATGACGGTCCCAGTATGAGTGGAACCAGACAGAGTAAGATCAAGATAAATGATAAATAGATGTCCCCTGTCCTACTGAGGAAGCCCTGAGAGGGGGCGCAACGTGTCTAGGAAGGAGGAGCCGGAACTGTGTTACCATCCCGCCACTATCTTGCTAACGGAGCAGTGAGCTGGATGTGGACACATTTTATGCGTTTTATACCTGTATATACTTCATCTGAT